ACTGTAATAGTGCAGTTCTATCAGTTTTTGAACTCTTTGCAGTTCTATCAGTTTTTACCACACATAATTTGACTCTGTGTTGTTAGACACATAAACATTAAGGACTGTTATGCATTCTTGGAGTACTGATCCTTTTATCATTATGAAATCCCCTTTTTATCCTTGATAATTTTCCTTGCTCTGAAGTGTCTTTCCTTTGTCTGAAATTAGTATAGCTATTCAACTTTCTTAGTCGATTAGTGTTAGCATGGCATATCTTTCTTCATACATTCATTTTTTCATTCATTCATTACTTGTATTATTTATTTACTTATTTAGAGACAGGGTCTCACTCTGTTGCCCAGGCTGGAGTGCAGATAGCTCACAGCAACCTCAAACTCCTGGGCTCAAGTGATCCTCCTGCCTCAGCCTCCCAAGTAGCTGGGACTACAGGTGCATGCTACCATGTCCGGCTAATTTTTCTATTTTTTTTTTTTTTTTTTTTTTGAGACAGAGTCTCACTTTGTGCCCAGGCTGAGGTGAGTGCCGTGGCGTCAGCCTAGCTCACAGCAACCTCAAACTCCTGGGCTTGAGTGATCCTTCTGCCTCAGCCTCCCGAGTAGCTGGGACTACAGGCATGCGCCACCATGCCCGGCTAATTTATATAGTATATGATATCAGTTGGCCAATTAATTTCTTTCTATTTATAGTAGAGACGGGGTCTCGCTCTTGCTCAGGCTGGTTTTGAACTCCTGACCTTGAGCAATCCGCCCGCCTCGGCCTCCCAAGAGCTAGGATTACAGGCGTGAGCCACAGCGCCCGGCCGATTTTTCTATTTTTTATAGACACAGGATCTCATTGTTGCTCAGGCTGGTCTCCCTCTCGTTCCTTCTATCATTGCTGTCATTTATTTTAATTATACCTAAGCTATAATCAATGAATATATTGTTTTTATTTTAAACAAACTTAACTGTTAGATCAATTAAGAATAAGAAAAATAAAAGTTTTTGTTTTCACTTATTCCTTCTCTAATGCTTTTCCTTTTTTAAATGTAGATCTGAGTTATTGACCTATGTTATTTTCCTTGTCTCTGAAGAACTTCTTTTAACATTTCTTGCAAGGCAGGTCTACTGGCAACAAACTCCCTCAGTTTTTGTCTGAGAAAGTTTTCAATGACTTTTTTTTTTAATTGACTTTTGAAGGATAATTTCACAGGATACAGAATTTTAGGTCAGTGGGGTTTTTTTCCTCAACATTTTGAATATTTCACTCCAGTCTCTTCTGCATGGTTTCTGAGTAGAAGCTGGATATAATTCTTATCTTTGCTCTTGTATAGGTAAGGTGGTTTTTTTCCTCTGGCTCCTTTTGGTCCTTTTTCTTTCTTTAGATTTTCTGCAGATTGAATATGCTACACTTCGGTGTAGTATGACTTTTTTGGCATTTATTTGGCTTGATGTTCTTCCTGCATTTGTGGTTTGCTGTCTGACATTAATTTTGGAAAATTCTCAGTCATTATTACATTAGTTCCCTCTTATCTGCAGTTTCACTTTCCTTGGAGGCAGTTACCCATGGTCTGAAAATATTAAAATGAAAATTCTAGAAAAAAGAGTAGTGATGCTGGCAATTCAGATGTGCAAAAGAGAACCCATAAAGTGATTCCTTTAAGTGAAAAGGTGATAGCTCTCAACTTGAGGAAAAAAACAGGAGGCTGAGGCAGGAGAGTCACTTAAGCCTAGAGTTTGAGGTTGCAGTGAGCTATGATGATGCCACTGCACTCCAGCCCAGGCAACAGAGCAAGACTCAGTCTCAATTTTTAAAAATAAATAAATAATTAAAAGAAAAGAAAAACATTGTATGCTGGGGTTGCTAAAATCTATAGTAAGAATGGAACTTCTATCTGTGAAACTGTTAGTTTTGCTGTGAACCTCAAACTGCAAAAGTTACAGCCACAATACTTGATAAGTTAGGATGGAGAAGGCAGGAATAGAAACATGTTCCAATTAACCACAATTGGGTTTCATACTCTCTGATGTTTTAGGTATCCACTGGAGGTCTTGGAATATATCCCCCCTCAGAAAAGGGGGAACTACTGTACTTCAAAAATTTCTTCTATTCCTCTCTCTCTTTTTTCTTCTGGTATTCCCATCATGCATATGTTACACATTTTATAGTTGTCCAACAGTTTTGGATATTCTGTGGTTTTTTTAGTCTTTTTCTCTTTGCTTTTGAAAGCTTCTATTGACGTATCCTCAAGCTCAGATTCTTTTCTCATCCATGTCCAGTCTAATGCAGTGGTCTCCAACCTTTTCAGCACAAGGGACCAGTTTCGGGGAAAATAATTTTTTCCATGGGCCAAGTGGGGGGGGGGATAGTTTCAGGATGATTCAAGCACATTACATTTATTGTGCAGTCAAACCTCTCTACTAATGATAATTTGTATTTGCAGCTGCTCCCTAGCACTAGCATCACTGCCTAAGCTCCACCTCAGATCATCAGGCATTAGATTCTCATAAGAAGCATGCAACCTAGATCCCTTGCATGTACAGTTTACAGTAGAGTTTAAGCTCCTGTGAGAATCTAATGCCACTGCTGATCTGATAGGAGGTAGAGCTTATGTGGTGATGTGAGTGATGGGGAGCCGCTGTAAATACAGATGAAGCTTCCCTTGCTGGCCATCACTCATCTTCTGCTGTGTGGCCAGGTTCCTGACAGGCTACGTATCTGTACCAGTCCTCAACCTGAGGGTTGAAGACTGAAGCACTAATGAATGCATCAAAGGCATTCTTCATTTTTGTTACAATGTTTTTTCATCTCTAGCATTTCTTTTTAATTCTGTCTTGGAATTTCCATCTCTGCTTACATAGCCCATCTGTTTTTGCATGTTGTCTACTTTTTCCATTAGTGAGTGCCCTTAGGATATTAATCATAGTTGTTTTAAATTCCTGGTTTTATAATTCTAACACACTTGCCATATCTGAGCCTGTTTCTGGTATTTGCTCTGTGTCTTCAAACTTATTTTTGCCTTTAAGTATGCCTTGTAATTTTTTGTTGAAAATTGGTCATGATATACTGGGTAAAAGAAACTGTGATTAATAGACCTTTAGTGATGTGATGGTAAGGTGTGGGGGATGGGGAAGCAGTTTTTAGTCCTGTGGTTATGTCTTTTTTTTTTCTTTTTTTTTTTTTGGGACAGGGTCTCACTCTGTTGCCCAGGCTAGAGTGCCATGGCATTAGCCTAGCTCATAGCAATCTCAAACTGCTGGGCTCAAGTGATCCTCTTGCCTCAGCCTCCCACGTAGCTGGGACTACAGGCATGCGCTACTATACCCAGATAATTTTTTTTATATATATTTTTTAGTTTTCCAGCTAATTTCTTTCTATTTTTTTAAGTAGAGACGGGGTCTCGCTCTTGCTCAGGCTGTTGTCGAACTCTTGAGCTCAAATGATCCACCCACCTCAGCCTCCCAGAGTGCTAGGATTACAGGTGTGAGCCACCATGCCCAGCCCCTTAATGTTTTATTTAGTCAGTCTATCCCCACCAATTTTCACATTTGATATTAAAATTCATTAATTGTCCTAATATGCACTATAGAGCTGTTTTCTCAGGTATAAAAATAAATTTTATTAAGATATAATTCACATACCACAAAATTCACCAGTTTAAAATGTATTAATTCAGTGGGTTTTAGTATATGCACAAATATGTACAACCATCACCACTGTCTAATTCCAAAACACCACATTATCCATCACTTTCTATTTCCCTCATCCTCCTCAGCCACTGGCAGCCACTGGGCTACTTTCTGTCCCTATCATTTGCCCATTTTGGACATTTAATTACATAAATGTAATAATACAATACATGGCCTTTTGAGTCTACTTCACTTTGAATAATGTTGTTGTATGTATCAGTACTCTCTTCCTTTCTATGGCTGAATAATATTATATGAAAACATCACATTTTGTTTATATATTCACCAGTTGATAGACATTTAGGTTGTTCCCATTTTTGGCTATTATGAATAATGCTACCAAGAACATTCATGTACAGGTTTTTGTGTGGACATATGTTTTCATTTCTCTTGGGTATATACCTAGAAATTGAATTGTTGAATCATATGGTAACTGTATGTTTAGCTTTTTAAGGAACTTCCAAACTGTATTCCAAAGCAGATTCACCATTTTTTTTTTTTTTGAGTGGGGCCACTTGTCTTCTCTTTCATATTTTATTTTATTTTTTATATATATATATATTAGTTGGCCAATTAATTTCTTTCTATTTATAGTAGAGACGGGGTCTCGCTCTTGCTCAGGCTGGTTTCGAACTCCTGACCTCGAGCAATCCGCCCGCCTCGGCCTCCCAGAGAGCTAGGATTACAGGCGTGAGCCACCGCGCCCGACCCAGATTCACCATTTTTTATATCCACCAGCAATGTGAGGGTTCTAAGTTCTTCACATCCTCATCAATGCTTATTGCTGTCTAGGTTTTTGATTATAGTCATTCTGTGAGTGTGATATCTGTTAACTTTTAAAATTTTATTGCTAGTGTATATAAATAGATTTTTGTATATTGGTTGTATTTTATATATTGCTGATTTTGTATACTGGCTACTTTATTCAGACTCTTCTGAGAAATGGCATCATTAGGCAATTTTGTCATTGTTTGAATATCATAGAGTGTACTTACCACAAACCTAGATGGTGCATCTTACTACATACCTAGGCCATACAGTGTAGGCTATTGCTTCCAGGCTTCAAACCTATACAGCATGTTACTATTCTGAATACTGTAGGCAGTTGTAACACAATGGTAATTATTTGTGTATCTAAACATACCTAAACATACATAGAAAAGGTACAGTAAAATTATGGCATTATAATCTTATGGGAACATCATCGTATATGTACTCCATCATCGACCAAAATGTTGTTATGTGGCACATGACTATATATATAAGCATTGACCTTTCTCTGCCAATAATTAGGAAAATATGTCTCAGTAAAATTCAGACTATAATTACCTTGTTCTTTTGTTCTTCCCCAGCCACTTATAAAACATGTTGTGTTTTGGTCCAGGTTTTGAAAAACATCAAAAGGTAGACAAATAGGCTGAATATAGTCATTATACCTCACTGGTTTTTTTAAATGAAAAAGTGCAATATCATTTACGTAAGATTCCATAACAAAGTCTGGATGAACAATGATTGCTTTAATTTTAATCTTCTTGGTATATTCCTGGTCCCTGTGTCTATTATTAGTTCCAATCACAGCTCTCCACATGAAAGGATCTCTGAAAGAAAATAAATATTTTTATTTTATTTTATTTTATTTTATTTATTTATTTTTTTTGAGACAGAGTCTCGCTTTGTTGCCCAGGCTAGAGTGAGTGCCGTCAGCTTAGCTCACAGCAACCTCAAACTCCTGGCTCAAGCAATCCTCCTGCCTCAGCCTCCCAAGTAGCTGGGACTACAGGCATTCGCCACCATGCCCGGCTAATTTTTTTGTATATATATTAGTTGGCCAATTAATTTCTTTCTATTTATAGTATTATAGAGACGGGTCTCGCTCTTGCTCAGGCTGGTTTCGAACTCCTGACCTCGAGCAATCCGCCCGCCTCGGCCTCCCAGAGAGCTAGGATTACAGGCGTGAGCCACCGCGCCCGGCCTAATATTTTTATTTTAAATATGTTTAACTAAGTAAATATTCTTAATCTCCCATTAGTTTTTCCCCCTCATGTTAGATTAACAACAAAAAAATTAATAGCACTTTCATGTAACAAAGTATAAAATAAAAACCCAAATATGATGTAGGAAAGAAGAAAAAGATCAATGGGATAGAAAATCCAAAAACAGTAGAGCCAGGCACAGTAGCTCATGCTTATAATCTTAGCACTGTGGGAGGTCAAGGATCTCTTGAGACCAGGAGTTTGAGACCAGCCTGAGAATCATAACAAGACCCCATCTCTACATAAAATAGAAAAAATTAGGCCAGGCGAGGTGGCTCACTTCTATACTCCTAGCACACTTGGGAGGCAAAGGAGGGAGGATTGCTTGAGCTCAGGAGGCCGAGACCAGCCTGAGCTAGAGTGAGACCCTGTCTCTACCAAAAATAGAAAAATTAGCCTAAGGCATGGTGGCGGGTGCCTATAGTCCCAGTTACTTGGCAGGCTGAGGCAGGAAGATCGTTTGAGCCCTGGAATTCGAGGTTGTAGTAAGCTATGATGATGCCACTGCATTCTACCCAGGGCCACGCAGAGTAAGACTCTGTCTCATAAAAAAGAAAAGAAAAAGAAAAAACTAGCTGGATATGGTGGTACACGCTTATAGTCCCAGCTGCTTGAAGGCTGAGGCAGAAAGATTGCTTGAGCCCACGAGTTCAAGGTTGCAGTGAGCTATGATGACACCACTGAATTCTAGCCTGGGCAACAGGATCCTGTCTCAAAAAATAAACAGAAAATGTAGAAACAGATTCAAGTACTTGAGAATTTAACATATGATAAAGGTGACATTTCTTACCAGTAGGTAAAAGGATGAATTACTCAATATGCGGTATTGGGACAACTAGCTATTTAAAAAGACAAATAAAATGAAATCCCTGAAATAACACTAAATACCAAAATAAACTGTGAATGGACTCAGTATTTAAATGCACAAATCTTTTAATAAAGAGTTTTTGTTTTTTTAGAGATACCCAGTCATATGTCTGAGATTTGCTTCAAAATAATTGGAGGGGGCAGTTGGTTAGGGTATAAATGAAACACAATCAGGTATAAACTAACAACTTGAAGCTGGGTGATGGGTACATAGAAGTTCACTAAAATATTCCCTCTACTTTATACATATTTTTGAAATTTACTAGAATGAAACATTTGTATATTAACTTAGCATGAGAAATTTTAAAATTAAAATAAAAACATTATAGATGAATATATAACATTGCACTAAAGGTAAAAACAAGAAGCAACTAAAGAATCTGGGCAGTCTTAAAAAAAAAAGCAAGCAAAAAACCAAACCAAAAAAGGTGAAAAGATCAAAAATTTAAAACTCAAGTGGCTAACAGTTGTTACAGATGGAATTGAATTAGGAAGGAGGAACTTTCAATTTATACACTGCTGTTTACAGATACTGAGATAACTTTTTACCCTTCAAATTGGCAAAGTATGTGAGTGTGTGTGTTTGATGATAATACTCAGTACAGATGAGCTATGAGAAATGGGAAATGAGAAATTCCTCCTAAAATTCATATGAAATATCAAGGGACTCCAAATAGTCAAAATAATCTTGAAAAAGAAGAATGAAGTTGGAGAACTCACACTTGCTGATTTCAAAACTGACTATAAAGCCATAGTAGTGAAAACTGTGGCACTAGGATAAGGACATGCATCAGTCAAGAAAAGAATCGGGAGGCCAGAAATATATCCCCTCATATATGATCAATTGATTTTTAGTGAGGGTGCCAAAACCATCTAAATGGGAAAGGACAGTCTTTTCAACAAATGGTGCTGGGAAAACTGAATAGCCACATGCAAAACAATGATGCTGGACTCTTACCTCACACTATATGCAAAAATTAACTGAAAATGGATCAAAGACCTAAATGTAAGAGCTGAAGCTATAAAATTCTTAGAAGAACCACATGTACTCACCAGCAAATTGGTATTAACAAATCAACACTTAAGTGGACATATAGGAACAACATTTATCGGGTGTCAGATGGGGGGACTTGGGCAATATACATAACCTTAACATCTGTACCCCTATAATATGCTGAAATAAATAAATAAAATAAAATAAAACTCTTAGAAGAAAACATAGGAGGAAAGCTTCATGATACTGGATTTGGTAATGATTTCTTAGATATGACACCAAAAGTATAGGTAACAAAATTAAAAAATGGATAAACTAGACTTCATCAAAATAAAAAACTTTTGTGTATCAAAGGGCACTATTAAGAGTGAAAAGAGGCCTGGCGCGGTGGCTCACACCTATAATCCTAGCACTCTGGGAGGCCCAGGTGGGCGGATTGCTCAAGGTCATTAGTTCAAAACCAGCCTGAGCAAGAGTGATACCCCCTCTCTACTAAAAATAGAAAGAAATTAATTGGCCAACTAAAAATATATAGAAAAATAAGCCAGGCATGGTGGCACATGCCTGTGCACATGCCCAGCTACTCGGGAAGCTGAGGCAGAAAGATCGCTTGAGCCTAGGAGTTTGAGATTGCTGTGAGCTAGGCTGATGCCACCACACTCTAGTCTGGGCAAAAGAGTGAGACTCTGTCTCAAAAAAAAACAAAAAAACAAAAAAAAAACAGGCCAGGCGCGGTGGCACACGCCTATAATCCTAGCAGTCTGGAGGCTGAGGCGGGCAGATTGCTTGAGGTCAGGAGTTCGAAACCAGCCTGAGCAAGAGTGAGACCCCCCATCTCTACTATAAATAGAAAGAAATTAATTGGCCAACTAATATATATAGAAAAAAAAATTAGTCGGGCATGGTGGCGCATGCATATAGTCCCAGCTACTCGGGAGGCTGAGGCAGCAGGATTGCTTGAGCTGAGGAGTTTGAGGTTGCTGTGAGCTAGGCTGATGCCACGGCACTCTAGTCTGGGCAACAAAGTGAGACTCTCTCCCAAAATACGAAAAAAAACCCAAAAAAACCCAGTGAAGGCCAAATCTGTCCTGTCTGTTGCTTTTATACAGCCCATAAACAAAACATGTTTTTTACATTTTTAAATGGTTGGAAAAAACAAAAGATTTTGTGACAGATGAAAACTGTAGAAAGTTCAAGTTTCAGTATTCATAAAGGTTTATTGGATTATAGCTACACTTATTCAATTATATACTGTCTATGGTTGCCTTTATGTTAAGTAATTGTGGCAGAGACCATATGACCTGGAAAGCCTAAAATATTTACTATCCTTGCAGAAAAAGTTTGCCAACCTCCAAATTAAAGTATTCATTTCATCAAAAACAGTGCACTATGTTTAAGGCATTATGGTTCCTTACAAACATATGATAGCTGAAAATGGCTGAAGTTAAATGGTCCTCTACTACTTCAAAATATCCCCTAAGAGAATAAAACAGTTGTGTTCTGAATACATACCTAGTGTCTTTAATGCAGTGGGCAGCTGTGAGGACCCACTTGTCTCTCACTAGGCTTCCCCCACATATGTGAGTAAGTAAACCGCCATATTTAATCTGCAGGCTAACTAGCCATGGCCATGCGCCAACTTGAGCTTCTGTGCCCCCTATAATCCGAGACCCTTTCAACACATCTCTAAGCGGTGCTATTCCACAACCTAAAAATAAAAATGATAAATTATTTAGACTGAGCATCTATATTGTGTTACTTCTCAATCTGAACACATTAATATAATCCTCTAAATTGCTATTTAAAAAACTGATAGATATCTGAAGTATGTCCATATTTTGAAAGAATCTTAAAGGAGAGTTAAGATAAATGTGCCACAATTGACTACTTACAGACATGAAATCACAATTCATTATTTTTAAGAATTATATTCCCCAAAAGTATAAAAACGAGATAAATTTCTCTGGCCAGGTATCATGTTCTTCTCTGTATGAAATAATGATTCAAGAGCCTGGGCCTGGTGAGTCCAGAGCTGCAAGGTTTAATACATGTCATTTAACTTGTCAGGTTAATTTTTGTCACCTGTGGTATAAAAAGATCACGTAACAGCCCTTTCAACTCTGAATCCCAGTGAATCATCATTTCACAAACTAGGAATGATAAACCCCAGCATGTGTTGAGGGGCAAATATAGAGGCCCTACACCTATGTCATTTTTTCGGTTATTGCTACTATCATCATTGTAATGGGTCTAGAAACTGCTTAGGTCTGTAAAATTTTGGTTAAAGGTAGTTGGGACGAGAAAAAGAGGGGCCCGAATTCAAACACTATAGTAGCGGGGAAAAGGCAAGGGAGGCCGCCCAGACAGGAGCAAGCAGGTACTGCCCTTTGCGGCAGGCCTTTTCTCCTTCTCTCGCCAGAGCCGCCCACGCGCGGCCTGAGTCCTCTTGGGGCCATCAGTCCTCTGTTCCTGCGCGGGGCTGAGTCTGCTGGGGCCGGAGAGCGAGTTGTGTTCGGAGAAGAGGTGAGCGCTGCCCACGAGCAGCAGCGCAGCGCCCAGCAGCCCCAGCCGCATCTTGGATCCCCGGGCGGGCAAGATGGCGGCAGGCGGCGTCCACCCACCCGCGCCGGCGCGAGGCCAGCGGCCCGGGACCAGGCGGCAGTACAGGCCTGCGGGCCACAGGGGCTTGTGGGCGGGCCGAGCTGCCTGGAGGAGTCAGGCCTCCGGTGGTCCTGGACAAAAAACGAGTGGCCTGCCCTCAGCCAGGCTCTGAGGATTGTAAATCAACAGGACTTTCCTGCGTCCTGTCTACACACTTAAATGGCATGGTCGGACTCTTGCGGTGGGAGGGAGGAGCTAGAGCCACTATCTGAGGCTTCCAGAAACAAGAGCATCTAAACTGTGGACCAAACGCTAGGGCCTGAGGCAATGCAGGTACAGAGGTTGGGCTTTGTGGCAGCATGGCCATTGGAAGAACTTAGTCTCTGTGATGCAGATTAATCTCTTTATTTCCAAAGCTTTCAAGTGGTTTGCTTTGATCTGATCAACTCAGGGTAAGCTTTAATAAAATCAAATTTAAGGACCTGCACCATTAAGGACAAACCCTGACATAATAATTGCATGCCCTCCCCCAAACACATCTACACACACACACACACTTTGGTCCTAGCCTGAGAGGTGCATTATTCCTTGCCCTTCAGTGTACCCCTGAAATAGCTCCTGACATTCCAAACATTGGAGAGGGGGACACAGATAAGTGGCCCTGGTTAATCAGTCCATTGAACAGGTACCTATTACCCTCATGCTGTATACCAGCACTGAAATAAGTATCACATCATGGGAGGTATGTTAAGACCTAGCTCTTTGACCTAGAGAACTTTATAACTTGGCTAGCAGAGAAAATTGGTACTGATTCACTTGGAGAACAACTAAAGAAATAAACTGACACACCCAAGGCCCAAAGTTCAGATTGGTGTGGGCCATGGCTGTCAGGGAAGGCTTCCTGCAGGAGGTGAATGTGAGCTGCACCCAGTTAGATGGGGGGGGGGGGAGAGCAGGAGGAAGGGGTAGTGAAGACAGGCTAGGCTGAAGGTAGAGCATAAGCAAGGTCACGGGTATTCATGCATGGCAGAGAACAAATCGACTGCAAGTAGCTGGGAAAACCAGTCTGACGTGTACTGTACAGGAAAGAAAAAATGTCCCAACACCCTTTGGGGCTTGCTGTGGACAGACTGAGAATATACATATATGTAATAATGCAGTAAGTGTGTGTATAATTTTATTATTATTTTAATTGTTTTCTGTCATCTTAGACTAAAGAGAGAAGCCGTGCCTTAAAATTTAAAGTTTTTGATCAGGTTATATTTTTAAAAACCACAAAGTTAAAAGATTCTTCTTGGTTTTGTATCAGAAAAGGTCCAGGATCAAAGTGTATGGCCCTTCTTCCCTTTTAGCTGAGCCATTTGAAATGGTTTTTGGATATGCAGTGGTACCCTGGAGCATGCATTACAGTTGTGGGTAGGATGTCAATTGCTTAGCATAGGGAAGAGAAATTTGTCAGTGTGTAAAGGAAGCTGGGGAAGAGGGAGGAAAGAAACAGGTAGCCGGACAATGTGGCAGAAAACCAGGCCTGAGCCAAAAAGATACCTGTGAGTTTCACTGTGGTAGGTGATAAAGATTCTCTGCTTGACCAAACTTTAGTCAGGCTCTTGCACCTTTTCCTAGGCCTATCTGTGCACTTCCTTGTAAAATCCAGTTTTAGCAAGAACCCTGCTGAGTCAGTTTAGAAGGAACCCCCACCTTTAGTATCTGCTCAGGTTCCTCACTCCACCCACCCCAGGTAAAGTCTGATGACCCTGGCCTGTCAAGCCAGAATCCTGTTAGGTGGGTTTAGCCAGAATCCTAGTTACTCCTGATGGTATCTTTTAGTAATTTTCCATTCACTGACACCTACCCTGCTTCTTGGTTATAAATTCCCACTTGCTCCTGCTGTATTTGGAGTTGAGCCCAGTCTCTCTCCCCATTGCAAAATCTTAACACCGTGGTCCCCATATTTATCTTTATGATCCTAAATGAAGTCTGCCTTCTCGTGTTTGACAAGTATCACTGAATAATTTTTCTTTAACATAAGCCAGAGTTTTTAAGAATGATGTCTAATGTTTGGTTTTAAATTGCTTTATTGCTCCTGTGTAGTGCTGTGCTGAACTTTACCTTTGTTGACCCCACACCTTAGGGAACAGTGTGGGCTACAGTAGTCTAGGAAGTTGGTCACATGGTGTAGCATTAAAGTAGGGGTCAATGAAAGGACAGATGCCTTGCTCATATCATCCTTCGAGGCTGGCATGGTTGCCGGTATTAAATAAAAGGAGTGTTGGGGGCTTACAAGTGGCAACACCTGGGAAAGGGAGCAGAGGCCTAGGGCTGAGCTGAAATCAATGGGTGGGAAGTAGGATATAGTAGAGAAACAAGTTGTAACATAAACTGACCTCTAGGGGGTGACAACAAACAAATTCCTGGTTTCCCAAACATTTTAGTGAAAAGTGATATTGGGAAGGGGAGAAACAGAGTGTGTTTTTCTGTGTGTGTGGGAGGTGATTACACTGTGTATAGCTTTCTAAGCAGAGCAAGATGATGGGTCTCGCTATGACAGGTAATAGGGGTTCAAGAGACTCATAAAATAAATGTGTGCAGCCAAGTCATGAAATGGCCGTGAAGAAGGTAGTGGACCAATAGCTGCAGAGGTCCTCTGCCTAGATTTCCTCTGCCTTTTCTAGGTTTTCACTCTTTTCTCCCACGTTGTCATTTCTTCTCTGTGTGGGATCCCTCCCATCAGCAAACCCCCTCTGGTGTGGTGAGCAGTTTCCAAAATGGCCTCCAATGGATGCTGTCTCCTGGTATTCACACCCCTATGTGGTCCCCTCCTTTTTAGTGTTGGGTGGATTTAATGACTTCTAGCAAATGGAAAGTTGCAGAAGTGATAGGCTATCAGTTCCAAGGTTAGGTCATAAAAAGATTGTGACTGCTGTCTTGAGTGCTCACTCCAGCCCTATAGCTCTGGGGTAAGTTGGCTGCCGTGCTGTGAGCTGCCCTGTACCCCTGTGGAGAGGCCTAAGGTAGTAGCTAAGAAGGAATGGAAGTCCTCAGTTAAACAGTCATGATGAAGTGAATTGGGCAACACCACATGTGTAAGCTTAGAAACACATCTTCCCCTGGAAAACCTTCAGATGAGACCATAGATCTGGCTGACACCCTAACTGCAACCTCATTAGAGACCTTAAGCCAGAGGCACCTAGCTAAACTACACAAGATTCCTGACCCACAAAAATTGTTGCAAGATTGTGAAATTTTTGTTTTAAGCTGCTAAGTTTGGAGATAATTTGTTATCCAGCCACAGATAATACATCTGGTCTCTCCCACCTTTGGAAAATCTTCAACTACCTCCACAACCCCTGCTTCCCTCTACAGCAAAATTTCACCTAAAAAGTTGTTTATAGTTTCTACTTTCCATTTCCTCACCTTTTATTCCCTTGATTTTTTTTTTTTTAATTTTGTTGGCTTTTGTTTATTTTTAAGAATAGGAGCAGGACTTTATTTTTCTTCTCAGAGAAAGAGACCTTGTTGTGAAGAGAATCTCTCTGTACTTACTCCATCCCATTAAACATTTTTAGACGTAATTGAGTCTCCAAACAAAATATCTTCTTACCTCACCTTTCCCAGTAAAAGTTTAGGAGCTGTGGTTCTGGAGGCTGAGGATATCAGTGCCAGGGCCTGGGATCTGGGGTTGGCACAGGGGTGCACTGGGGCAGGATTGTCTGGGTCTGGAGGAGGGGGAGGTTTTATCTTTCTAGTTGTTCCCTAATCCACTGGGGGCATGTCTGAGGGCTAAACATTTGTTTAATATTTAAAAAAATATTTTACTTAAAAACATTTTATTATGTAAAATTAAAGTAATAATAATACAAACATCCATGTATCCACCAGCCCACTCAGTATTTTTGCTTTATTCAATGTTTAATACATATAAAAGGATATTTATAAAATACATGTACACATTAAAGAATAACAGTATGAGAATATCCATTTAAGAAAAAGAACAATATCATTGCTTTTGAAATCCTCTGTGTATCTCTCCCTCATTCTGTCTCTTTCTTTTTCCCTCAGAAGTAACCAATATTGTGGATTTTATATTTATTACTTCATTGATTCTCTGTATAAACCTGATTGGATAGTATGGTAGCCACTAGCCACGTATGACAATTTAAGTTTAAATTTAAATAAAAAATTAGTTCTTGGCCGGTGCGGTGGCTCACGCCTGTAATCCTAGCACTCTGGGAGGCCGAGGCGGGCGGATTGCTCAAGGTCAGGAGTTCAAAACCAGCCTGAGCGAGGCCCCGTCTCTACCATAAAAATAGAAAGAAATTAATTGGCCAACTAATATATATATATAAAAATCAGCCGGGCATGATGGCTCGTGCCTGTAGTCCCAGCTACTCGGGAGGCTGAGGCAGGAGGATCGCTTGAGCCCAGGAGTTTAAGGTTGCTGTGAGCTAGGCTGACACCACGGCACTCACTCTAGCCTAGGCAAGAAAGCGAGACTCTGTCTCAAAAAAAAAAAAAAAAATTAGTTCCTCAGTCACATTAGCCATATTTTAAGTGCTCAATAGCCACGTGTCACAGGAGAAGATGGATTTCCCAACTCAAGAAAAAAGAGAATTTGCCCTTCCTCTACCTGTTTGTTCTAGTAGAGCCCTCAACAGATTGGATGATGCCCACTGACAATGGTGAGGATGGATCTGATTTATTCAGTCTGATTCAAATGCCAATCTCTTACAGAAACACCTCACAGACACTCCCAGAAATAGTGTTTACCAGCCATCTGGACATCCCTTTGTCCAGTCAAGTTGACACAAAAAATTAACCATCACATGAGCTTTATATAAATTGAATTATACAATAAATTTTCTTTTGCAACTAGTTTTTTTTTTTTCATTTAGTATTAGGTTCTTCACATTCATTTCTGTGGTTATCTCTAACTACAATTCATTTATTTCTACCATATACATAGTGTATATGGTAGAGGGTATTTATGCCACAGGGTATTTATCTACTTTGGAATCTAGAA